CATTAAAATTTCTGGAAAAGAAGAGAATATCTTTATAACCGTTTAGTAAAAAAAGATTCTAAAATAAGGCACAAGCACGTATACATGTTAACACTATTGGAAACATATTGATTAGTAAGTGTATATTAAAACTAGGAACATTTTTTATTTTTATTGAATTTATTGGGGTGACATTGGTTCATACAATTTTATAGGTTTCAAGTGTACAATTCTATAACACATCAGCTGTATATTGTATTGTGTGTCCACCATATTTAATCAAATATACCATTAACATAGAGAGGAATAGCCAAGTCAAATGACTTGTACTATGAAATATTTAAAAGACTCCTATAATCTGATAAGAAAAAAGAACACCACCACATGGAAAAATTAGCAAAGGACTTGTGTGGACATTTCATAAAGGAGGATATCCAAATTTCCAGTGAACATGAAAAGATGCTCTACTTTCTTTTTTTTAATATTATTGTTCAATTACAGTTGTCCCCATTTTCCCCTACTTCTCTCCCCTTCCCTGCCCACCCCCACCTCCCACATTCAGTATTCCTCTCTCCTCACTGTTGTCTTTGTCCATGGCCCTTTATACATGTTCTTTGACTTGACCCTAACCCTTCTTTCCCCTGTTATATCCTCTTCCCCTGTCAGTTACTGTCAGTTTGTTCTTTATTTCCATGCCTCTGGCTACATTTTGTTCACTTGTTTGTTTTGTTGATTAAGTTCCACTTATAGGTGACATCATATGATATTTGTCTTTCATCACCTGGCTTACTTTACTTGGCATAATGTTCTCCAGTTCCATCCATGCTTTCATGAAGGGTAGGAGCTCCTTTCTTTCTACTGCATAGTATTTCATTATGTAAATGTACCACAGGTTTTTGATCCACTCATTTACTGATGGGCACTTAGGTTGCTTCCAGCACTTGGCTATTATAAATTGGGCTGCCATGAACATTTGGGTGTATAAGTTCTTTGGAATTGGTGTTTCAGGGTTCTCAGGGTATAATCCCAGCAGTGGAATTGCTGGGTCAAAAGGCAGTTCTAGTTTCAGTATTCTGTGGAAATTCCACACCCATGCTGTTTTCCACAGTGGCTGTATGAGTCTGCATTCCCACCAACAGTGTACTAGGGTTCCCTTTTCTCCACAACCTCACCAGCAATTGTTTGTTGATTTGATTATGATGGCCATTTTGACTGGTGTAAAGTGGTATCTCATTGTGGTTTTAATTTACATCTCTCTGATTGTTAGTGATGCTAAGCATCCTCTCATATGTCTCTGGGTCCTCTGTATGTTCTCCTTGGAGAAGTGTGTGTTCAGGTCCTTTGCCCATTTTTTATTTGGGTTGTTTGTGTTCCTGGAGTGGAGCTGTGTGAGTTCTTTATATATTTTGGAGATCAAACCCTTGTGTGAGGTATCATTTGTATTTGTTGACTTATTGAAGATAGCCATTCTAGCAGATGTGAGGTGATATAGCATTATGATTTTAATTTGCATGTCTCTGATAATTAACGATGTTGATTATTTTTTAATGTATTTATTGGCCATCTTTGGAAATGAGTCTGTTTAGGTCTTTTGCACATATTTTAAATTAGAGTGTTTGTCTTCCTGATGTTGAGTTGTATAAGCTCTTTATATATTTTGGAAACTAACCCTTTATCAGATGTATCGTTTGCAAATATTTTTACCCATACAGTTAGTTCCCTCTTCATTAATCATTCTTTCATCTAGTTACCCATCCTCCTTTCCCTCTAACAGCCATCAGGTTGTTTCATGTATCTATGCCTCTGACTCTATTTTGTTTGTCAGTTTATTTTTTTCATTAGATTTCACCTATAAGTGATATCATATAGCATTTGTCTTTCTTTGACTGGTTTATTTAAGCTAGCATAATAATCTACAGTTCTATCGATGCTTTAAAATCCATATCTACTCTTTATCTGGCTTATCTTGCTATCAGTTTCCATTAATTGTCTTTTTTGTAGGGGACATAGGTGATGTTTTTCTATTTTTGTGTGTCTAATGATTTTAGATTGTATACTGCATTTGGGAAATTGTGAATGATTTCCAGAATACAGTATTCTGGTGCAGAAACTCTGGGTTCTGTCATAGTTTTCTGAATTCAATTAATTTAATTTTTTCAGGCAGGTAACTTAGCTGATCTCAAGTTTCATCTATCTTCCTTCCCATAGGTAGTAGCTAAAATACCTCTTCAGTTTTTGTAGCTTTACTTAGGTTGTTTGGAGTTTGCCCCAAACATGTGTACTTCAAAGATGTGGGCAGAATTTATATGTAAAATTCAGTGCTCTCTCTCTCTCTCTCTCTCAGGCTTTCTTATGTGTATTTCTTTTGACTTTCCATCATATGTCATAGACTTGTAGTCTTTTTTTAAAATTAGTTTTCTAGCCAATAAGATTGAATATCTCTTATTTATTTAGTTAGTTACTTATTTATTTTTATTGTTGTTCAAGTATGGACCTGGAGAGCATTATGCTAAGTGAAATAAGCCAGGCAGTAAAAAACAAACACCATATAATTTCACCTATAAGTGGAACTTAATCAACAAAACAAACAAACAAAAATATGTAACCATAGGGGTTCTCAAAAGTGGAAGAGGAAGGCAGAAGATGACAGTCAGAGGGAAATGTGAGTACAGAAGATAGACAGAAATAATATTATTGGCTTTGAAGATGGAGAATGGGGGTCCAAGTGCTACAAAACATAAAAAAGAGGTTCTCTTCCAGAGCTCCAGAATTGAAAGCAGCCTTCTCAACACCTTGATTTTTAGCCCAGTGAGACCTGTGCTGGACTTCTGAACTACTAGAACTGTAAGATAATAAATTTGTGGTGGTTTAAGTTATGGAGTCTGGGGTAGTTTATTATAATACAGAAAACTGATATTCTGCATTCAATAAAAAAGTATATTTGTATTTTTTATCAAGTTAGAATTGTATAATATTATATGAGTTTCAGGTGTGCAACACAATACTTGTGTATATTGCCTTGATATTTGTAAATATTGTAAAACAGTCACCACAAAAAGTCTAATTAACAGTCCTCACCCACATAATTACAATTTTTCTTATGATGAGAACTTTTAAGAATTACTCTTTTAGCAACTTTTAAATATACACTAAATGTTATTAACTATATTTACTATGCTTTACATTATGTACTCATGACTTCTTTATTTTATACCTGGAAGTTTGTACCTTTTGACCACCTCCACCCATTTAGCACCCACCCCTGTAGCAACCACCAATCTATTTTCTGTATCCATGTGCTCAGTTCTTTTAAGATTCTACATGTACTGGGATCATACAGTACTTGTATTTCTTTATCTAACTTATTTCAACTAGCATAATGCCCTTAAGGTGCATCAGTGTAATGGCAAATGGCAGAATTTCCTTTTTTATGGTTGAATAATATTCTATTGTATGTATACCACATTTTATGTATCGATTTATCCACCAAGGGGCATTTAGGTTGCTTCAGTGTCTTCTCTATTGTAAATAATGCTGCAGTAAACATAGGGGTGTGCAGATATTTTTTCAAGTTAGTATTTTTATTTCCTTTGGATAACTACTCAGAAGTAGAATTATTAGATCATGTGGTAGTTTCATTTTTAACTTTTTGAAGAACATTTATACTGTTTTCCATAGTGGCTGCACCAATTTGCATTCTTACGAACAGTGCAGAAGTGTTCCCTTTTTTCCTCATCCTTATCTACATTTGTTATTTCTTTCTCTCTCTTTTTCTTTATTTTTCTTTATAATAGCCATTCTAATTGGTGTGAGGTAATATCTTATTGTGGTTTTCATTAATATATCCCTGATGATTAATGATGCTGAGCACCTTTTCATGTACCGGCTAGCCAACTGTATGTCTTCTTTGGAAGATAATATTTTTAAGTAAAAAGTTAATTATCAAGCATTTACTATTTTAACAACATACCATTAGGTAAACATGAACTAAATGTATATCATTGGTCAAAAACTGCAAAACATGGGTAAAATACCAAGGCTCATCTAATAAGCCACAAAGAAGAAATGCAAGTTGAAAGGGCTTGACATTACAAGATGCATAATAAATGATGAGTTTGTGAATCTGAGAATAATTACTATCTATAGCATTAAATTTGACCTTTGAAAATGTAATTAACATATGTAAGATTTCACCCACTTAGGGGTGTGTTCATTATTGAGCAACCTAATTTCCCTACCCTACTGATGCTTCTATGGAATTTCTATTTTTCTATCTCTCTCTCTTTCTCTTCCCCTTTCTCTTTATTTCTTCCCTTCAATAAAGATAGAGATAAATTGACTAATACCTAATAGATTGCTATTTACCCATGTTTTGCAGTATTGCATAGATACACACCTACAAACAGACCAGTTCTCTTTGAACAGTAAGTTACTTATGGGGAGATTTGCATTTACATGAAGACTCTGGAAAAATTTCATGCAAAATTTCTCCAAATTCTTTTTATAGAACCATTAAAATGTCACGTACATTTTTATATTTATATTTACATGACAGACTTTGGTGTGTAATGAAGCATCAATAACATTGTGAATAAAAGTAACTAAGCAAGTAAGAAAGGAATGGATGAATCTGTTGCAAGTATTAAAAAACTGTAGTTCTTGATGTAGGGATGTGTATAAATTTGGTAATGTGGCCAGTAGAATTAACTTTCTGCAAATAAAAAGAAGGACTTTATTTCACACAATCCTATCTGTAAAATCTGCTCTACAAGGGGTATATAAGAAAGTAATCATGATAAAATCTTATAATTACGTTGTTCAAAACTTTTAGGTATCCCATAAGCTTTCACAGTGATTGTTTTGATATTAATCACATTATATGTTCCAGATGGGCTATCTAGGGAAATTGTAAATAAAATAATACTAAGGGCAGAGCCTTTTTTTTGTGGCAAGATTCTATAATTGAGAAAGACATTGTCTTTTCCCTGCTTTAAAATGAATATCTCTGAGACAGTTTATGTCTATCTTTTTTTCAAAAAGATACTTGAAACCCGCACTCTAATCTGTTTAGTCCTCACTCCATAGATGACAGGATTAAGGGCTGGTGGAACAACAACATATAAATTGGCCAGGAGAATGTGAATGTATATGGGGACATTGCTGCCAAACTGGTGGGTCATGAAGGAGAAAACAGCTGGAGTGAAGAAGGCCAGAATAACACAGATATGGGAGCCACATGTATTAAGTGCCTTGAGTCTGGCATCACGAGAAGGAAGGCGGAAGACAGCTCGGAGTATTCTCACATAGGAGATGACAATCAGAACCACATCAATAAATACCATTGATATAAGAATTAATCCAAATATCGTGTTTACTTTTATATTGGCACAGGCCAGCCGAGCAATTCCCATGTGCTCACAATATGTGTGAGGGATTATATGATGTCCACAGAAGGGAAGCCTCAAGATGAGAAACACCAGAGGGATAACCAAAATGAAATTGACACCAAACACCACCACAAAGATGAGGCCAATAGTTCTGTTATTGAGAATCAGACTGTACCGCAGAGGGTTGCAGATGGCAACATAGCGATCAAAGGCCATGGCAACCAACACTACAGTCTCCATAGCAGTGAATATATGAATGAAGAACATCTGGGTGACACAACCCCCAAAGCTAATCTCTTTTAAACTAAACCAGAATATGCCCAACATCTTGGGGATAGTAGATGTGGACAGGCCCAGATCAATGGAGGCTAGCATAGCCAGGAAATAAACATGGGCTGATGAAGACTGTGTTCATTCTTGATCACAAACAGGATAGTGACATTTCCCAAAAGGGCAATCAAGTACACAGAACAAAAGGGAAACCCGATCCAAATGTGCATCTCTTCCAGGCCTGGAACTCCCAGCAGGAGGAAAGAGGAGGGGTGTAACTTGGTGTCATTTGATGGGGGCATTCCCTCTCTGTTCTTTTGGAATCAGATAGAAAAACAAACAAATTGTCAAACAATTTAAAAATCCAAACTAAATTAAAAGAATACAATAAATTTGGAGCAATAATCAGCAGAACATTATGAAGATTATATGCCATCCTTCAAAGTATGGATTCATTTAGTCTTCAAAAATATTAACAATTATGCTAAATGTAACAAAGAAATCAGACAAAAATCTCTGACTTTGTAATATTACATATTGTTTAAAATATGTATACAGTATATATGTGTGTAGATACATAAGTATAGATATAGTGATAGGAGATACAAGTGCTAACAAAGTGACATCTAAGCAGATGCATAAATGCAACATGGGGATGATTTAATGTAAGTTAATAATGAACGCTAAATATCCTTAAGACATGGGTTGGCACTTCAATTTGAATTCTAGAAGAAATATTTCTTTAGCTCTCTGGAGCATGAATAAAAGTGGTTAAAGTTTCTCTTCTTAAATAAGCTGTGAAACAAGTGCTTTAGGAGAGTTAGTAACTCTCTTTCTGGGGGAAGAGAAGGCAGGTTTGTGAGGAGGAGTAAAAAAGGAAAATCAAACTGTTCCTCATTTTTCTTCTGCCATGATCCTTGGCTAGTGTGGTAAATTGGAATTAGGGGTAAATTGGAATTAGAGGTTCCCTTAGCTAAGTGAGACTCAGGTAAGATGGACAGACCAAGGACAAACTTATTTCCAAGGGCTCTCTCAAATTTTCTATTGAAATTTCTATAGCAATTATTCTAAAAATTCTAGGTAGAAAGAAAATGTACTTTAAAAAAAACTCTTTCATCTATACTTCAAAAATTTTGAAATTACAGAGAGATTAGGACAATTTTACCCTACCAGGGATATTCAAACAACACCTACTTTGTACTCCTGTGTTTCTCACAGCTTCTGTTTCAGGGGTTTCCTGTTTGTCATTTATTTCTCATATCTGGTGTCTCACTTCCACAGCTCAGCCTTGAGTAGCATCACCTGCGTTAGCCATGCCCATGATTTGCTTAGGTTTAGACTACAGCAATCTCTCTCCTTATTTCATTTTGTCATGCCTACAGAGGAACCTTTACAGTTATGCTGCAATGGGCTTTCACCCCCCCTCCCCCAGACCATCTCCCACAGGACCATTAAACCCTAGGGTTTGCAAGGTTCCTCTTCCTGAAAGAAAATAGTTAATCCCTCTGTGACTATATTTCTGAACCATAAAATCTATGGCTACCACCTTCCATTATTAGCCTCCACTCTGACCATCCCCACAGACTCCATCCCTGAGTTTCACCTTTGGTTTAGCAGCATTAAATTCTTAAAAGTTGCTGGCTTTGATTTACAGTAACAAAAGCAAGATAATATAATTGGAAATGTATTGTATATACTGAAGAAATAGTGAGTGTAAAAATAATGCTAATGCTATGGCATGTAAAAGTGGTCTGGAATAGCAGTGTGTGGGTAGACTCTAAGGCCTTCTGATATATTCCTACTCTGGATTAAGTAAGGGTGTTGCGCGTGGGTCACCGGCCAGCAGTGACCATGGAACGCTGTGGATGGCTCGACGATAAACACACGAGAAAAAACATGCACAGAGACAAACTAGTTTCTGTGGGGAAGTAGGGACAGAATGGCCACCCCGCCTAGTGGGGAGCGTGCTGATTTACCATCCATACCTGCTTTTATTGGGCTCATTCTGCATAATAATTCAGGTAAAGTACAGTACTCATTAGGGGGAAGTAAGGAACCATAGAAAACAAAGAACTCTGCCAGTCTATTGAGTCGGGGTCAAAGAGCTGTAAGACTGAGGAACAAAATAACTTCCTCCTAAGACCCTTCTCATTCAACTGAGAGCATTCTAAACAAAGAAGATTTCACAGTAATTTACATGTTCTTTCTTAGGTCTGATCACCCCGGGGAATCCGCACTTCTCAGTACAGAGCTGCACCACCCTGTCATTGTTTCAGGCTTAGGTGGAGCAAGGGAACTAAGGCAACTGAGAGACAAGGAGGTTTTCTCTCAGACGTTGAGGACTCAGGCTATGTCAAAGCTGAGGAGTGAGGGTCCATCACCCCCTTTTGCTGCAGCCCCCAAAGTCCTTCTTTTGGGGGGCCTCCCAAAGTGATTGTGCCTGTCTTAGGTTGTTCCCCCCATGGGGAATCTTACCCGTCTTTGGCTAACCGACCAAGCTTTTTGGGGTTCAGTCATGAATAAAGCAGCAGAAGCAGCATTCCTGCCAGGAAGATAGGCTTTTGTCTCCTTGCTGGCTTACGGTTCCAAGGGCGTTCCCTTAGCCTTAGCCTAGGCAGGGGTTTCAGCTTCTGATACCAGTCAGGGCGGTTCCCAACATCAGGGAAAATGGCCAGACAGTTCACATGCCAAATATTTTAGAATTGTGTTGATTAGTGGAATTTCATGGAGATTGGAGCAGTAGCAGATTTTTAGGTCATTACACATTACATTTTGGACTCATACACAGAGATCCAGCATTTCTTTCCCTGGGATCCAACACCATGTCAGAATTCTGAGATTAGACATTTCTCCTCATGCTGTCCAAGCTCAATGTCCTTTTCTTCTGACCAACATATATTAGGTCCCAAGGGTTGAGGCTACACCTCTGATGAGCAGACTGATTCAAGTAGGAGAATAGAATAGTTGATGTAAAAAGGCTAGAAATCCTCACATACGTAAGTGGATACAGGTTAATAAAGGCAACATAAAAATCTGAGAAGTCATTGGGAAATGGGAGAATAAGAAAAGGGGAAGAAATAGCAGAGAACTAAATAATTTACTACCATATATGACATGATCAACTGTTAACATGATCACTTTCTCAACATTCTTCCAGTATTTAATTTATAAGCCATCCATATCCTGTTTTCATGGTGTTCTACAGGAAACCAACTGCCTCTCTGAGTGACCAACCTGCAGGAGTGCTGAAAGCTTATCAGTCTAACCACTTATTCCCAAGGAATAATCTCTATTTGTTACACTCAGTTTCATCAAAAACCCAGGCCATTTAAACATAAAAGGCTGAAATTTGATACTTTTGAAGATGACACTGCTCATAGGTGAAGAATGTACTTGTAAACACTGCCAAGGTGAATTTTATAAGGAACAACTTTATTCAGAGTGTTTGTATCACTACAAAAATGGTTCATTTAATTTTCCAGGGGTAGCAGTCGCTGGGGGCACACAATTTGTCTTTGTGACAGCTGCTCCCAGACCTGTGGAAGACAGAAGGCATAAAATGACAATTACAAAAGGTTTGGGTATCCTAATGGCAATTATTTATCTTTCTAATGCTTTCATTGGTATGCAGTGGAGTCTGTGTTGGAAGTCAGTATCTCTGATTTGTCATTCAAGTCCTAACTCTAAGGTCCCAGGGGGACCCTTGGCCTGTGATTCACTCAGGGCCACATCAGTAGAATAACTAAACAATTCTAATCTCAAAAGGATAGAGTGCAATACTGTAATATTCATTGTCCTCATCTTCCAGATGGTTCATAGTCTCCTTTAATATCCTCTATTTGCTGTGAACTGATTGGTGCATGAACAACAAACCCCTTAGCAATCATGGGAAAGCCCCTACATCCCAGTGTTTTTGTCATAATACAGTACATTTCATCATATTTGTCTCCTTGATCAGGGAAGCTTGGCCAAGTGAGTTCACTGAATTCATCAGCTTCATGATGGGGAAAGAAGATGGGATATCACAATCAAGTGGTCACATGTATCAGACACTGTGAGCCTCTCTGTCCATGTTTCCATTTAATGAGGGTGGATATCATTCCAGCCACAGTGTGCTAAGAGTGTGCCTCTCAAACTCACGATGAGTCAAGGAATTCACTTTTATGTTTCACTTCACCAGAGCACAGAACAGTGATTTTCAACTGGTGTGTCACAAGAATTTTTAAAACGTGAATACCTGACTATTTAGTCAGTGTCACTGACCTCTTTTGCCTTACACTGTCAAATTTACAAATGACAACAGCCAATGTAACAATAGCCATCTGGTGTAAATAAATAAAAATTATACCTTTTTTCTGTTTTTGTTTTGTTTTGTTTTGTTTTCTTTGTCAGATGCTTAGCTCATTGAACAAATTATGCCAGACAGCATACTGACAAGGCCTTTAGCAAGAAAATGTATTGGAAGACACTTACAAAGAAAGACATAGCAGCAGCAGTGCAGACTCTTTTTTTGTCAATTTTATTCTGGGGTTGTTTACAGATATTTTGTGAGGCCAGATGTCAGCCTCTATGAGAAAAGCCCTGACTGTTGGGCTTTTGGACTTTATTTGAAATCACCCAATCCTTCCCTGGAGTAAGCAGAGACTGGTATCCAAGACAATAAGATGGGCTAGAATATTGGCTTCTAACTATATTATACCACCTCATGTTCATTATTTAGAGGAATCATGATTAAAGTGATTAAGGGACTGGGCTCCAAATGTTGCTGCTACAACAATGTGTCATGTGACAGTCTTGACCACTCACCCATTCCAGCCACTCAGTTTTCAGGGAATGAGAATAAAACGTTTTTTTAAATTATGCCATAAAAACCAAAATAAATAAACCATTAAAATTGATTCATCCAAATAAAATCAAATTGTGCTCTAAATATCATTGTTTAGAAAAGAAAAGAAAAGAAAAGAAAAGAAAAGAAAAGAAAAGAAAAGAAAAGAAAAGGGAAAGGAACAAAAAAAGAAAAGGATTCAATTGGGACAATACTTTTATAAAGTTATATTGGACCAAGGACTTAAAGGCTCTTTTGGCCTTTTTGTGTCCTTATATGGGCTTCTGTTTCTAATCAGGGCTGCATGGGGTGTGTCATTGAGCATGCTAATATATTATAATAAGCATATAATGAGGCTAGGGGATATATTTAAGTGAAATTAGTAACCATAATGGATCAAATTTATTTCTTCTGGTGTTAAGCCATTAATCTGATGGTGGTGGTGGGGTATGTAGTCTTACTATCTTCTTGGCAGTT